TCACTCAACCTGTGAGGTTTCCGTAAGCAATCCTCATCCACGCATCCATGCGTCACGCGTCTTTGGTAGCGCATACTATGGGGGCTATATTTGGGGTGGCGTGTTTTACAGCGCTTTGCCAACAGCGCCAACCCACTTAAGTCTACGGGGGGGGTAAATGTCATTAGTCCCGCTATACCTGCTGTCACATAGCTGAACCGTGCCTCAATCTGACCGTACCGTGTTGGGTCGGCTCACAGCCATCATTCAAGCCATCGGGCTCACCAATCGGACTATGTGGTGGGTGCAGAGAAACACCCACCGACGGGGGCTCAGTGGCTCAAAGGCAGTTGGAGCACATATGGCTTATCTGCTCCACCAGGCCAAACTCTATCTAAAAAAATGGCGCGTTTGCCTTATGAAGACTTGCATTGTGTTGGCACGCCTCACAGCCATCACACAAGCCATCCGGCACCCCAATCGGACCAGTGGGTGCAGAGAAACGCCTTCCCACGGAGGCTCAGTGGCTCACAGGCCGGTGGAGCAGATACGTCATATCTGCTCCACCAGGCTAAACGCTATCTACAGGGTGCCATTTGCCCTACGAAGATCTGTGTTGTGCTGGCACGGCCCACAGTAATCAAACAAGCCATCGGGTACCTCAATCTACCAGTGGGTGCAGAGAAACGCCCACCCACGGCGGCTTGGCGGCTCAAAGGCCGGTGGAACAGATAGGCCATATCTTCTCCATCAGGCCAAACTCTACCTACAGAACATCGTGTGCCCTACGAATGGTTGCATTGTGTTGGCACGGTCCACAGCTATCATACAAGCCATCGGGCACCCCAATCGGAACAGTGGGTGCAAAGACACACTCGCCCACAGGGGATCAGTGGCTCAAGGCCGGTGGAGCAGATTGGCCGTATCTGCTCAACCAGACCAAACTCTATCTACAGGGTGCCGCTTGCCTTACAAAGACTTGCATTGTCTTGGCACGATCCACAGCTATCATTCAAGCCATCGGGCACCCCAATCGGACCAGTGGGTGCAGAGAAGCGCCCACCCACACGGGGGCTTAACGGCTCAATGACCGGTGAAGCAGATTGGCCATATCTTCTTCTCCAGGCCAACATCTATCTACAGGGTGTCGTTTGCCCTACGAAGACTTGCATTGTGTCGGCACGATACGGCTATCATTCAAGCCATCGGGCACCCCAATCGGACCAGTGGATGCAGAGAAATGCCCACCCACACGGCGGCTTAGCGGCCCAAAGGTCGGTGGAGCAGATTGACCATGTCTGCTCCACCAGGCCAAACTCTATAATCAGCGACAGGCCTCACGCCGATAAGGTTGAAGCCCTCACAAAATGCCGCTACCAGCCAACGGCAAGGACCTGCGTTCCTTGCTGGGTAGGCTTTTGTACTACTCTGGCGCAAATATATCAAGGGCCTGGCCATACGCGAAGTGTCACTCGCCGCCTCCTGCATAAAACGCCAATTTTCGTTTGAGGCTTGACATGGAGGATACTGTTAAACCACTCGTAGCGGAACGGTCGGAGCCTCCGGTTTTGAGCTTTTCGGCATAAGGATAGATCGTTGGTTGGTGGACGGCTCAAGTCTCTTTGAATTCCACGATCGCCAACCCTGAATCGCGTTACTAGGGAGCACCAAGACGGCCTTGGTGTTCTTAGGGAACGTGTTAACTGGATTGATTATCGATTCAATGGAGCCCCCCCTACGGAACTCCCATAATAAACCAAATATGTCATAGAGTTACAATCGAAGAGAGAGAGGCAGCACCTCGAACTGAGGAAGGGAAGGAACACGCCCTTTCTAGGGGAAGCCAAGGACGAAGCCAATACGCAACACGCAACTACTCAAAAGGCACGGCCATAATCTAATTTGATTGTTCCGGTGCGGTACAGTGGCGCGAAAAGCTTAGAGACGCCCGTCGATGTACTTTGCCCGATCATCCTAGCGGTGTCATGGGCCAGGCGACTGCAAAACTACGCCAGTCAAAAAAACGGACGCAACAACTGCGTCGAGTACACCCACATGTTCCATCCCCAACGAGACAAGGCATGGGAATTCGCAAAGGCCCAAAGGTCAGATCGTTGTCCGTCAAGGCCAAGAATTATGAGGAATGCAGAAGTTCACTCGTCTCCTGTAGTAGCCTACATGTTCCTGCCCTAGTCGAACCCATTCTCTAGTGCTCTTTCTCACAAAAGTTAAAAGATCCCTGGGATCATGTTCAATGCCGGGCAGTGTACTTCACCCACCGAGTAAAACATAGCACGCCGTGCGATACAAGAGGCATCTCGACGTCAAGACGCAGATGCATTGCACCTCAAAGCAAGCTTCCGGCAGCTACAAACAAATATTCTTGGACACAATCACCAACTTCTGTTTTGGTTGCCGACATCATTGCGATGGCCGCAAAACTGCGGCCCTAGCTATACATATGGTACACATTTTAGGTGGCCAAAACTGGGTACAGTCCTTGCCTAAAACAGAACAAGAAGCACGGAAGACAACTGGCCACAGATAGTGCAACGTAGCAACGAGGGTGTCGATCGATCCAGCGTTCTCGATGAGCCTTCGATACGAAGCCGTCGGTCTACGCCATTAGATTGCTCTTTTCGTGGTTGTTGCCCTGGGCAAGCGCAATTTCCAGAGGGCCCTCGACATGGTCTGGCCGGAAAGAAGCACATAACCGAGGGTTTGGCAGGTGAGTAGGAGGAAGTGACACGTGGTTAGACGTTATTTCGGGGAAACTAGGAGCTCGTCATTTTTTTTGTTCGGAACAAAATTCGGATTGCGTGGGGGTGGTACATGTATTGTCCGCGTCGGAATCCTTTGCGGTGCAGAGACATGTTGCCCGATACCTCACAGTGTCTGAAAACCGACCATAACGACCTGTTATGGCTTCAACACCTACGTACGAACAGAATCAACTCCTGATGCACCCGTTACCCACTCAAAATGTTTCCAGGGATGTAGAACGTAGCGAACGTCTTCCGCTGCTCTCAACTACGGAGGTGAACAACGTTTCTGGCAATCTCGAGAAATGATGTCGTACCGTGCGCTTTATCCGTGCTATCTGCTCTTCACTTACAGTCTTCCTCCGACCCGCGGATAGCTTCCATGCCCTGCATGATTGGGTGACTGTCGGCATCGAGAGTGGGCACCCGCGTCTCCCGGAGGATACCCGTGGCATCCCAGTTTTCGTCGATGTTGCCAACGGTAAGGTTCATCTGTCAGGTGAGGTGGTCTGGGAGGTCAAAGCGGTCCGAAGGGTCTCGCATGGGAAGCTGGTGAAGGCGGCCGTGGCTCAGGCGGATAGTGCCGGCGGGCGTTAGAATTTGGAACGACAGGTGTTCCGATTCATGTGCGAGCAACCCGGCCTGGCCTCTTGCCGTTGCTTTAGCCACGTATTCGGTGCACTCAGGCATGTTGGTCGTTGTAGGGTCGCCGACGATCTGTCCGCCATGTCCTGCAAACCGTTGAAGGAGAGCGACCTCCGGCCGGCGGCGGCGCACTCTGCCTGCTTGAGCTCTCAGTAACTCTCGAATCCGAACGACCTGCAAAGGAGGACGAACGCGTCGTGCGTAGGTTTAAGGGCTCAGATGGAGAAACGGCCTAACTGGCTCAGAGCCCACGCGTTGTGCCATGTCTACAAGAAGGCTTGTCTGCGGCACCGACGGGGTGATGTTCAACGACAGGCAAGCTGGATGCAGCGGCGCTCGAAAGGGTCAATATATAGCACTTTAGACGTTGGTTCGGGGGCTAGGTCACCTGCAAGCGCCAGGGAGGTTGACTGACTGCGGAAATCTCCACGTCGAGCCCAAGCTTGGCCTGGCCAGGGAACAGCAGAGCGGGTTCACCGTCGAGCTCCACGGTCAAAGCGCCCTGCCCTAGACAGGGTGAGGCTGCGCGCTGTCCAGACTGCGTAGGTCGGTGATCTTGATGAGGATGGTGTGGTCCCATCCCTCGGAGTCGGCGGCTTGATGTCGAGTCCGGTGATGTACGTGATCCCAGGCACGGATGGAACAGGAGACGTTACGCGCATGTTGAGGCGTATCCGAAAGACCGCAGTACCACTCACCGTCCTGGCCAGTGAAATCGAACTTTTGACGGTGGAAGCCCGTCGTGTGCGGGTCACCTTGGGGGGGAGGGGGTGGGGGGGCGAACGTAAGCAGGAGCGGCTAATCGATTACATACGCAAGCGCCACTGTTTTCTATCGACAGATGCGTGCGGGCAAGCCATGCTGAAAGGACACGAATGTATTATCCTGCTACGCAGGTCTATCAACTATGGATAATAGTGAGAATAGAGAGTATCTCGATGTGGCCCGATACTCGCGTTATCAACTACGAGCAACTAGACGAGTGTCATGGAAAACATGCACATGTAGACCGAAGGAGACCAACATTGACATTCTTTAGACCCAACGGCGCTCCTTACCGCATACCCGTATCACTTTCGGGCGGTTCACAGACTCGCTTCTCAGGACAGCAGATGTCTCTGGCATCGGGGCAATCATCGTCGTCGTTGCAGACTATTTGTTGACAACAGATGGCGGCCGTGTTTTGTGGAAGAAAAAGAGAGAAACGGATCATCATAAAGAGAATGCAAGCCGTTGTTTTTGCTCTTTGACCGTGGTCAAGAATGCCCTGTAGGACCAATGCAAGAAAAACTGTTTCTGGTCGACATCGCCTGAAGGAGTAGTCATAGAAATATGTGTAGCCGCAAACTACCGTAGGTTGCGAAAGATATATCGTACCCCCTGGACTGACTGATTTTCAAAGCTCGATTACAATATGACGAAGAGGATGCCGAAATTGAGGTAGACTACTTGTACATGTAGACTGTACGTTTTCGGGAAACTCTCGACGAGACGGTTCCAACGCCGCCATTGTCGTCACCGCCACTGCTTTTCCTGCCGAGACATCGTGCTTCGAAAATCGGTCCAGGTGGTGTGGTATCTTATGCCACCTACGGTAAGCATGATCTGTACAGAACCGGCCCGCACTTAAGAACCTCTTATTTGGAGCGAGGCTCGCTTCTTGTTGGCTGCCCCAAGCCGAGCACAAGTTCTTATTTGCCAGGTTCTTTTTTCGTCGTCCAGTTGTCTCCAGAAACGGTGTTCTTGTTCTTATTTCATCATCGATTGCTCAATTGGTGCACTACTCAACTGCACTCGACGCAGAGTTTCATACCCGCAAACACCCCCGATGGGGCAACTGTCAACCGTCTTGGTCCACAAGAGTGACGTTGGGGGTGCGTACCCTTCCCGCCCTACTGACGCTCTCAAGCAAAACCCATGAACCTACCGCCGCGTCCGGATCTCCGCTGTACGTGTCTAAGGGCAGCTTCATATTGCGCGTACTGTGGTCTACTTCCAGCTGCACACAGTAGTCGTACAGGTGGCGCTGCGGAGATTGCTGAATGATCAACCCACCGAACCACCCCATGCCCAGCCGAACAAGCACTCCAAGTTGCAAAAGCGATCTGTCAAGAGCAGCGGGGGTAGATTCTTGAAGGCGAAAGCCCGCCGGGATCTCCATTCCCTGCGTCTCGTCCCCCGGGTCGTCTGGGTCCATGCTGTCGTCCTCGTCCAAAAGAGCTAGCTCGTCGGTCTGGGATTGAGACATGTCTGCGACAAAGTGTACCGTGAAACACGAGAAGGAACGTACGGGTGTCATCGCCGTTACTCAANAGTTGCAAAAGCGATCTGTCAAGAGCAGCGGGGGTAGATTCTTGAAGGCGAAAGCCCGCCGG